AGATTTATTTAGAGATACTGTGCATCAAGATGGATATCTGTTTACATTGTCAAATAAAATATATTGTCCAACAATTCCATCTTTTTTAAAAAATGAAAAATTTAAATGAAATGCTAAGATGTTTATCTTTACTTAAGAATTTTGAGCTACAAATTTGGCTTTTGCAACCCATTGGATCTTCTTTACTTTGTTCTCTATCATGCTCAGATTTCTACATAAAAAAGAGGCAGAAATAATATATTATTCCACTTCAACATTACTTTAGCTCATGAATTTGATCAATTGACATCTTAAATATGATTTAATTTGTCTAGTTCAAATGATGAATTAGAATTTAATGAAGTATGAAACAGCTATCTCTTCATCCACTTTTTAAATAAACTTGAGGGATCTTTGAATCTCAACTATTGCATTATTAAGAAGAAGGAAGAAATAAATGTATAGTTAATGATTTAAAAAAATATTCTGTATTTAATTTCTAGGGAATTTATCAGTTATATGAAACGATCCAGAACTTTTTATGCGTCTTTGACAGAAAGGCTTTGTGAAGGTGATCTTGTGATGAAAGACAGCTCAACTTGCTGGAATGGTCAAGATGTGGTAGAAAGGTAATTGTGAAAGATTTCTAAAAAATTCTAAGTTTGAAATTCATCTGTTTCCACTGATCTTTCTAGTATGATATTCAAAAAGATATTTTAATTGGATGGATTTCTGGATTGGGAATACCACTTGAATGGTGCTTTTCAAGTTATCAAAAAGAGATATCTTATACTTACAGTATGTTGCAGAAGTGTCTTCATCTCTGAAATCTGAATGACCTTGCTTCTTCATATCATAAACTGTTTCCAACTACAATATATTTGGGTAGAAACATTAGTGAATCTCTGAGTCTATCAACAAGACAAGCCAACTTGGCTGAGAAAATTGTGACACAGTTTTTTTTTAAATTTGCATTTAAAGAGACAATACGTAAGTCCTAATTATTCATGAAATATGTAAGTTTAGATTTTATGCACTTCTTGCTAGTTCTTCTGAATCATAAAATTATAATGAAAATGACGCTACGTGTTAAAGGGTAGATAAGGCATATTAGCTAGATGTTCGAAATAAGTTCACTGAAAATAAACATAGTGTTATTTTAGCTGGTTGATAAAGAAACAAATGAAATAATTTGTTTTGCAATTTTGGTGAGAGTTTTATTGTTTCCTGTTAAAGACTGAAATGAAATACAAGAGCTAAAAGATGAATAAAGTAGATAAAGAATGGCAACCTATATTAATCATTTCCTTCATATTAAACATTGTAATATTTCATTTGATGAGATGTTCTACTGCAATAGTTTTTGGATACCGTTGAATATTCATAATTTATTTTATAGCATTTTAAAAATGATAATATGATCATATTTTAATGTTTTAATTTATTTAAATGTTTTAAAGATAGTTTATAATAAAACACACAAAAAATTGGGCTCTAAAGATCAAATACAGCATTCTGAATTGGATATAGAAATGGATTAAAGCCAGTTTATGTTGCAAATAGGTTTATGGACCAGGATCAACGAACAGTTCAGTTAATTCTAGTTTGAGCTAACTGAAATTTTGTAATGGTATGTGGGGATGATGTTAGTAGACAGGAAGAAGAGATACGATTACACAAATGGTCAGCCAAGTGACAGATAAGTTTATAGAAGGAACGGGCGTATGACAAATACCTAGGAAGATTTATGGTTAGTTTCTTGCATTGGAAAGGCACAATGTATTTTCATATTTTCAAGATTCTGTTAATTTAATCTTTTAATAAAATTACAGCTAGTACTTATGGATATGCTTCTTGTCTGGAAGGCTTGTCTTAAAAGGCTGATAGTTTCTAGAATGTTTTCCAAAGGACTCCACATGCAATAACAATAGCACTTAGACTTATATACTGATTCACAGTGCTTTACAGCAACCCCTATGGAGTTTATAGAGTCGGCATATTGCCCCAACAATCTGGGTCCCCATTTTATTGATCTTGGATAGATGGAAAGCTGAATCAACTTTGAGCCAGTCAGGATAAAACTCCTGGCAATAAGCAGAATTAACCAGCAACACTGCATTCTAACCATTGCACCATTACAGCTCTACGATACAATACAATACAATCTCTTGACAGATTGAGAGTTTTTTAATTCACCAGCATTTAAAAAATAAAATATGTTGCAATAAATAGGCAATGGTTCTATCTTGGAACTGTTTAAAAGCATGATATGATTTGAATAATTGAAATCATTCAAAAGATTTCAAATTTGAATGATTTTGGAAGCATCCAGCATCTACAAAGTTGCCCTTCTGGGTAGCTAAGATAATCAAGATGTAATATTACAATGTAAATCTTCCTGTATACCATAACATTATAATGAATTGCAAATAAAAAGTAAAGAAATAAATGAAAAAATTATCAATACAGTACTTTGCCTCTTTGGCCGAAAATATGAATCTTAGTAGATTGCATTTGGCAAACAATGTAATATGAATACAATTACAGAGTAGGAATAATTCTATTTTGTTTGTCAGCAACAGTACATTTCAGAAAAACAAACACAATCCTGTGCCCTAAATGTTAGCTATGAAAGTATGATCCCAACAAAAAATTCCATTTCCTGATCACAAGATTTGTATGGCTTTTCTTTTATTATTTTCTTTTAAGTCAACTGAAAAAAATTCCTGTTTTTCTAAGATGACCTTAAATATTATTTATGCTGTGACTTATGACAATGAATGTGGGCTTAATGTATACATTTTTAAAGAGCAAAGTGGAATTTATCTACATGAAGTATTATTCTTAACCATGATTAAGATCAGTAGTGGGAAATGGGAATATTCAGGCACTGAGACGGAGAATATTTGGAAAGGAAACTGGATTGTTTATAGTTGAGAAAGTCTTGGACAAAGTTATGAATTCTTTTCTTCTGTAGCAGCTCCCTTTCTTCATTTCTAAAGCCTGGTAGGCTTTAAACTCTCTCAGTAGTGGCAACAGCTGCCACAGTCATACTCCTCATGCTCTAAGCAACACAACAAATTCATCCTAGCAAAGATTTTATTTTTCAAAAATCATCATAATCTTTTTTTCTAATTTGTGAATTTAAACAAATATGTACCCTTAATGAGTTAGGGCAAAGGGACATAGCTGAATGATGTATCGTGAAATTCCTGCTGAACTGGTATTTAACTTGGTGTTATCCATATAACATGTACATATAACAAACACTCTTTGACTTTTCCATTTTAATAAAGATCATTTTTGTCCCTGGCAGCATCATAGCATGAAAATATTACCTATAACAATCCTTACATCTGCGTCTTTCTGTGTGCTGCTTTGCTGTGTATTTGCTTTCTAGATCAATTTTTGAACGTGCTTGCTGCCGATTTAGTTATGTACATTTAACTTATCAGAATAATGTGACTTAATCAGACAAAGGATTGTTTTAAATAAAGGGTCTTTGTTACTTGACATTGAGGTAGCATATATTTCACCAAGACAATCTGATGTCAGGTTTTACAGTTCAGTAGCTAACCAAAAGGTTACACTGAAACTCAAATTGATGCATCTTAGAATTCCATTTGAAAGAGCAAACAGTAGTTATACAGCTGTTGCAATATGATCAAACAAGCAAGGACATTTTTCATATGAAGCTTGACATGTTTTAAGCATATGTTTTTGAGCTATTGAATATTCAGGCTATATATGGATTTTTGGAGTTTACTTATGTGAAGCTGCAAATGAAACACCTTTTCAGAATGCTTCTGGGAAACACTACAGTGACTCTTTGCTAATAGATGAAGTACCATTGATGGCTGCTGTGCTGCACTCAGCGTGCCATATGTGTGATACATATACAGGAATTACTTTCATCAAAGCACAGAAGGAAGTGTAATACTGAAGGCCTACTTGCTTACTCTTCTATTACTGAGAATTGCAAAATGTCTGAATTTAGATTCCATTAATTTCTTATGGTAAAATAGCAAACAATGCCATGGACTCCCATGCTGTCCATGGCCAAAAATTGCAGTAGTAATAATTTTGCTTTGCAAAACAATAGCGACAGGAGGTTCTAGTTTCAAAAAATGCCAGATGTCAAATCCATGATTGCATCCTGATTTTTATTGAATTTAGTGGAACTAAATTTTACCATTGCTGTAGGGGAATAAAGAACAATCAAGGCTACCATCCAATATTGCAACTTGCTTCTGAATAATCAGAAACAATAAATCAGTCTGGATTTAAACCCCTAATTTAAATAATGCAAAATGCATTGCATGAAGTGGGTTATGAATATGTTGAATATAAGGTACATGATAAAAAAAATACAGAGAGATAAAGTGCCTGGTATTAGTATAATTTCTTTCTTTCTTTCTTTCTTTCTTTCTTTCTTTCTTTCTTTCTTTCTTTCTTTCTTTCTTTCTTTCTTTCTTT